CCAAGATGGTCATATAATATTAAAATATTCGAGTCAAAATGCGAAACTGATCTATATTTTTTTTTTAAAAAGATTTCGACCGATGATACCATTCTCCATAATTGGTAACGAATTAAAAACATAGAACTTGTGCTCTGCAATTGCTGAAATACAACATACATATTTGACATAATTGGGCAATATAATAAATATATAATATATATTTTTTTTACTATTTTATAGGCATTACAAACTTATATCATAATATAGTCTCGTATAATATTTAGGTACATATATCATTGTCAGTCAGGGATTGAGGCTCACAATATTTTGGTCACAACAAAATTTAAAGTAATATATGCAAACATAGTATAATGAGTTTCAAAATCGTATTAAATAAAGGAATTATTTTCATAATCCATACAAATAAGTTCGCATCACTCTACTATTTTCTCAGAAAATAATAAATTGTAATAGATAAAACGTTTATGATTTGAAAGTTCAATCAATATTATACCGAAAATAATTGATTACATTTCATATTTAGATACCCAGAACAAAGAAGTCAATGCAAAGCAACGTACCTAATAATTTTCGTTAACATAACAACAGACAGATCAAAATACATGTTGTGCTCCCAGCCGCGTAAGCGATTTGTGACACCTTTGTTTTAAATTCCAAAGTACAAGTACCTATATGGAAACGTTTGAGATTACATCGTATGATGGTACCTACTTTCAATAATACAATAAAATGATATCGTGAATATAATCATTTACACAGTTTAGGTAGTAACATTTCATTGTGATAATAGGTTTACATATATTATCAAGTATTCATTATTTAAGTTATTTATAATAGTCGAAAACACATTACTACTTTTTTATTTTATGACTTTTATGGAATATTTTTATCTTAATTGAGACAGAAATTTAAAATATACACTATTAAATACCTAAAGTTTGTTTAAACAAAATATTTATTAACATTAGAAGAGACAATTTTTTTTGAAGCAGATTACATAATTTTATGTTTCGTTGTCCATAATAAAAAAATACTATTGTTATGAAACTTAAAATAATAGAGTAGATACACTTTCGACTTTTTTTTTTTTAGTAACTAATATACAAAATTTCGTTTAAAATTGTAAAAATTTTACATTAACCAAAAAAATACTAAGAGAAATTTAGGGTAAAGTTATTGAAAATATGAAAAAGTTTTGCAAATTCATATAAAATATATCTAAGCGAAAACGTATTTATCATTTTTTTTTTGTGGTTGTTTTTTTTTTTTGCTTTGGCGGGGATTCCATTATGACCTCATTTTAATTGTTCTCATGTCCCTACATGTTAATTATTTTCATACTTGCACATCTCAATAGATAAGGACATCTCATTACATTCCTTTTTGATTGTCAGGCCTATTATTTTTTCATAATTGTTGTACGTACTTTATTTCTTTCTTATATTTTTGACCTTTTGCTAGCTTTATTTCTTTTAGTATTAAAATGCTGTTCTAAATTCTCTTTCCTTAATATTTATTTATTAATTAGATACCGGGAATCGGAGTATTAATTCACTTCATTTATATTTTATTTCGTGATATTTATCACGCGGGTACTTAATAAATATGGGCCCCCCATTTACTTGGGTATTATATTACTTTTTCATAACATTCGTTTCATTTTATTGGTACATAACTTTCTTTTATCATACTATATCAAGGTAAACCTGTACCTTGGGTTGTGCGCACAACCTTGAGGTCTACGTTTAAGTCATTTTAAAAGGACTCCAACAATTGTCACGGAGGAATACTAAGTTCACACTATGATCCAATGAAGGATGTGACCTCTATGTACCATTATTAAGGGTAACAAATTTAAGACTTCTCTGGTCCCCAACAGTACTAATATGAATAAATTCGTTCACATCTCACTTGTACTGAAGGTATTGTTCCCTAGTACCCGTTACTTCCGATTTTATCATCCAATCATGGAAACATACCCTGCTCGAGGACTATATGCTTTACCAGTGATGGACGTTCCCGTATCTCTCCATGATTTATTTATCAAGGTCATCTTTTATTTTATTTTGATTCTCTTCATAAATTTTTATTTCTTTCTTTATCTTTATAGTACCTGCTGTTTATCTACTTGACTGTATCGGTAACTTTTATATACTTTCATACTCAATTTCCATTACTAACTTTCATAATTCTCGCTCATAATGGTTTCAATACCAGGATTTTAAGCATCATCAAATATTTGGGTGATCAGTCCAATATTGACGAAACTTTGCAATTCCATCATTCGTATCCACACATTTGAACATTCCTTCTCTCATTCCTCACGCCTTTTAAATATATACTTTTTAATATTGTACAAAAAAATGAGGTAATAAATGTCAACTTTGCATGTCCGTGTTTAACTTTGTTAAGAAACATTATTATTAAACCTTCTATTTTTTTTTTCCTTATCACATTAAAATGATAGTTTTAAATATTTTCTAACTGATACAAAAGTTTATAGTATAGTTACATCGTATCGCTTATAGATATATTACTTTTACTTATATCGAAAAATATATTAGCATTAGTTATACATTTAATTTACATATAAAAATTTAGGATTGCTAGAAATTTAAGAAACCGTATAACCTACAGAAAATAATTTGTAATCACTATTACAGCTAAATTTATTTTAAACAAAACATTAAGTTATTTCCAATTTTTGATTTTTAAGCAGGTTATATTAACTTTAAGGTAATTTATTAAAGGTTATGTATTTATTTACATAGTTACATAAAGGTTTTCATGCCTTTAGAAAAGAACACAAATAATTATGATTTATAATAATAGCGATTTTTTTTTTATAAAACCCTTTTCAAAATTGTATACTTACATTTAAATAAAATTTATCACGGAAAAAAATTGGGCTGAATTTAAAAATATATTTACTTTAATACGAATCTTGTCATTGTAAAATGTAACTTAATATATTGTATTATTTTTTAATAGAATACCTACTAAAATATTGTAAATATTATAAAATGTTAAATTCAAGTTACTTGTAAATACCGTACATTTAATATTTAATGCATTACTTATTTATTTAAAATAAAACATAATAAAAAATTATTAAAATCAAATGTTGAAAATTACGCTGATGCGATGTTACCTCTTATATCTTCTTTTTTCTTTTCGGTTTAATTTTCATATCTTACTGGACAAAGCTCGCTAAAGTACAACTGCTCCTTTCCTTATTAAATTAATTTGCCGTTTCTTGAGTTTTGGTCTTTGGACATTATTTAAGGAATCACTTTTTATTCTCTTTATTCTTTCTTAGTTGCCTTCATAGTTATATTAAAGATAAATATATTATATTACTTCATATACGTTATGGTTTTTAATTTTTCAGTCAATTATTATTGTGGCTTCTTCTTGTATTATTATTTATTATTATTTCGACACATCCGGTATTGCGTCCATTCCGTTATAATATTTCTTTTATCTGTCATTTCACTTCATTATTTAATTTAAATTTCTTATAATATTTTTATTTATCTTTTTTTTATGTCGTAGGCCCCGGCGGTGCGCATGCATTGTCGCAGCGCACCGCCTGGCAGGGTCGCCATGTGATGTGGGCAGGTGTTAATGAAAGAGAACACGTGTTGCTGAGACTAATTCTTTAATTATACTGCTCAATAAACTTAAGAGAACATGTATTACTTACACTACTAGTAGGGTTGAGGCACATACACTACAATACGAACTCCCAGACAGAAATGGAGTTTTACCATTTAGTTTCATACGAGTATATAAACTTTATTATAAACTTCAAAAATTGTCGATATAAAGTCGCTGAAATAAACGCTGTTCTTAAAAAAATTATATACATGAATAATAACTAAAACTAAAACTAAACTGCGATAGGAAACGTGAATTTACTAAAAAAGGTATTAAACGAACGAAACATATTCCTTACCTTTATTTTTACCTATGATTTTTTTTATACGTGGTAGAGCCATGCTGCAGCTATATTTCTGGTATAGTTGTAGCACGAATGGGTCGGCTCGACCAGGTAAGGACCACTCTCTCACAGAATACCAGCGTAAAATAATAGCTTAAGGCTGCTGTGTTTCGTTTGGTGAGTGTAGAGAATCAGAGACCCCTTTTACTGGAAACGAGGCATTCCGTCTTAGTCCTCACGGGTGACAACACATCTGCATTTTGATTCGTAATCTTTGGGATGATGTATTGAATAGAATTGAATAGATGTCTATGGGCCACAGCAACCACTTACCATCAGGTGGACTGTGTGCTCGTTTGTCACCCTTATCCTATAAAAAAACCTATTGCTATAATATATAATACAATATGTTATTACTAAGATGTCCTTAAATGTACTGTTGGGGATTAATTTTGAAATTTTTGTTATATTTTAGGGAATAAAAAGAAAAGTACAAACAAGAGTTGTTAGATTTATATTTTCCTTCAAAGAGAACTAATTTATTATAAAATGTTGTGAGGTGTACTTGAAGATAGTTTTCAATTTTGCTACATAGATTCTAATAATAATAAAATAGGTTTTAATAGGTAATTTTATTAATAAGTGTTTATACTTGCATATTATATTGTAGTTTTTCTACTAATGTTTACCTCTATGAGAAAATCATTTTTCTTCAAAGTACTTGCTGTATATATTCGAATATTTTCTTTTAGGAACCTATGCTTTATTTTTTTTCACCGTTTTTTGTCAAACATCAATATTTTATGCAAACCTCTCATAGCATCCACTTACAATTGGTGAACTGTGTGCTCGTTTGCCACTCTAATTCTTTTAATTTTTTTAATTCACAAACCTGAGATTTTGCAAATACTTCTCTCTATAAATAATCTATATATAAAATAATCTATCTTTCTCGATCTAACATACGCGTACGCTATGCTCTTTCCCTTTTACATTGCCCATTTATTCTAACGTCAGTTTATTCTAAATATATGGTTTTTACCATGTCCACCAGATACGTGGTAATGGGGAAGTACATGATGGAGGTGTGGTACCAGTCGCCGTACCCCGGGGACGCGGCGCGCGTGCCGCGGCTGTTCGTGTGCGAGTTCTGCCTCAACCACCACAAGTGCGCCGCGGGCGCCGCGCGACACCGCACCAAGTGCGTCTGGCGCCACCCGCCCGGCGACGAGGTACATCACACCACCTGCCCGCCTGCCCGCTACACTTGTCTCTGTCTGACACACACGTGCCGCGGCTGTTCGTGTGCGAGTTCTGCCTCAACCACCACAAGTGCGCCGCGGGCGCCGCGCGACACCGCACCAAGTGCGTCTGGCGCCACCCGCCCGGCGACGAGGTACATCACACCACCTGCCCGCCTGCCCGCTACACTTGTCTCTGTCTGACACACACGTGCCGCGGCTGTTCGTGTGCGAGTTCTGCCTCAACCACCACAAGTGCGCCGCGGGCGCCGCGCGACACCGCACCAAGTGCGTCTGGCGCCACCCGCCCGGCGACGAGGTACATCACACCACCTGCCCGCCTGCCCGCTACACTTGTCTCTGTCTGACACACACGTGCCGCGGCTGTTCGTGTGCGAGTTCTGCCTCAACCACCACAAGTGCGCCGCGGGCGCCGCGCGACACCGCACCAAGTGCGTCTGGCGCCACCCGCCCGGCGACGAGGTACATCACACCACCTGCCCGCCTGCCCGCTACACTTGTCTCTGTCTGACACACACGTGCCGCGGCTGTTCGTGTGCGAGTTCTGCCTCAACCACCACAAGTGCGCCGCGGGCGCCGCGCGACACCGCACCAAGTGCGTCTGGCGCCACCCGCCCGGCGACGAGGTACATCACACCACCTGCCCGCCTGCCCGCTACACTTGTCTCTGTCTGACACACACGTGCCGCGGCTGTTCGTGTGCGAGTTCTGCCTCAACCACCACAAGTGCGCCGCGGGCGCCGCGCGACACCGCACCAAGTGCGTCTGGCGCCACCCGCCCGGCGACGAGGTACATCACACCACCTGCCCGCCTGCCCGCTACACTTGTCTCTGTCTGACACACACGTGCCGCGGCTGTTCGTGTGCGAGTTCTGCCTCAACCACCACAAGTGCGCCGCGGGCGCCGCGCGACACCGCACCAAGTGCGTCTGGCGCCACCCGCCCGGCGACGAGGTACATCACACCACCTGCCCGCCTGCCCGCTACACTTGTCTCTGTCTGACACACACGTGCCGCGGCTGTTCGTGTGCGAGTTCTGCCTCAACCACCACAAGTGCGCCGCGGGCGCCGCGCGACACCGCACCAAGTGCGTCTGGCGCCACCCGCCCGGCGACGAGGTACATCACACCACCTGCCCGCCTGCCCGCTACACTTGTCTCTGTCTGACACACACATGCACCAACACACGTGCACGAACACACATGCACAGACACGTGCACCAAAATACGTGCAACTGCTATACGTGCGCCAACACACGTACTCCTACCACGCTTGTCGCTGAAACACGTACCACTGCCACATGTAACACTTGCTACTAATGTACTTGTTGCTGCAACACGTGCCTTTAGTGTAATACTTGTCCCTGTACTTGTGTGTCCCTATTATTTGTCCTGTAATACTTGTCCCTGAATTACGCGAAACTGTTACACGTGACATTATCACTCGTGACTCTGCTACATGAACCACTGCCCCTTGTGACTCTGCCACTCGTGTCACTACTAATAATCGCTTAGGTGCAATCACTTTTCCTGCAACGCTTCCCGCACTTTTCATTTAAAACGATGGATCTTAACCGTGAACATTTGCGCGCTATGATATATTATGATTTTAAATTTGGTTTAACCGAACAATTAAGTTTAGAACGGTTACAATCAGCATTAGGGGACTCAGCTCCATCACGCGCAACAATTTTCAGGTGGTTTGCTGAATTCAAAAGTGGTAAAATTAATCTTATAAAATAAAATTAATATTAGTTCTACTTCGAGCTATATGGCCGGCAATGGGCCGGCCATATAGCTCGAAGAACCGACAACCGATGGGGAAGAAAGGTTCTCGAGTGGCAGCCTCGTACCGGCAGGCGAAGTGTAGGGCGTCCCCCCACTAGATGGAGTGACGACCTGGTAAGATATGCAGGAAGTCGATGGATGCAGGTGGCTCAGGACCGTGCTTTGTGGCATTCTTTGGGGGAGGCCTATGTTCAGCAGTGGACTTGTGAAGGGCTGTAATGATGATGATGAAAATTAATCTTAAAGATGACCAAAGAACCGAGGCCCCGCAAACAGCAGTAACGGCAGAAAATGTGTGGACTACTGAAATGTTGGTTTGAGAAGACCCACGAATCACATATACGGACATCGAAAAGATTGTTCGTATTATTTCGGGGAGCATTCATACCATCCTACATCAACATTTTGGAGTGAGGAAGCTTTGTTGTCGATGGATGCCTCGTTTGCTCTCCGAACGCGAAAAACAGACTCGTGTGGATTGGTGCCATGAAATGCGTCTACGTTTTGAAAACGGGGCATCTAGGCGTGTTTCAGAAATCGATACTGGTGACGAGACATGGATCTATCAATATGATCCGGAAAATAAAAGGCAATCAACGGTATGGGTCTACTCAGAAGCCGACAAAACTATTAATGAAACTTTGTATAGAGAATGATGGAGAATATTTTGAAAAGATGTAAAATAAATATTAATAGTATCTAGAATACTTTTTGTATATCTCAAAACTTATTGAGTGACCTACGTACACTAACAATTGTTTGCCACTTGTCTTAGAAAAAGTACGGGAGAAGCGACCTTGCAGTAGGACCCTCCTTCACCACGACAATGCCGCGTCGCACGCCGCCAAGCAAACTGTTATAGCCATGCTGCAGCAATATTATGGTCGTAGCACGAAGGGGTCGGCTCTACTGGGTTCAGACCACGTTCTCACAGAATACCAGCGTAAAATAGCAGCTTAACGCTCCTGTGTTCCGTATGGTGAGCGTAGGGAACCGGAGACCCTTTTTACTGGAAACGAGGCATTCCATCTTAGTCCTCACGGGTGACAACGCATCTGCATTTTGATTCTTAATCGAAGATAGATGTAGATGTCTATGGGCCAGAGCAACCACTTACCATCAGGTGGACTGTGTGCTCGTTTGGCACCCTTATCCTATAAAAAAAAACTACTACTTGGCGACGTCAGACGTGGAATTACTGGGTCACCCGCCCTATAGCTCCGACCTCGCACTTTGCGATTTTTATTTATTTCCGAAAATAAAACTTCGAGGAAAACGTTTTATTGACGCCGAGGAAGCAGTGGTTGCGTTTCAAAATGCCGTCGAAGAGACCCCTAAGGACGAGTGGGCAAAGTGCTTATCTCAGTGGTTCCATAGGATGCAGCAATGTATTGATGTAAATGGACACTATTTTGTACTTGCTAGTTTGTTCAGTTTTAGATTTTCTAAGAACTTCCAGTGTCACTTTCGTAGAAAGCATTTTCAGGAGGGATCTAGGCTATATTTTTACCCGACTGCCAAGGAAGGGTTATGTTTTTCGCGCGTATCTTGTATGTTTGTAAATTTCTTTGTCGTATCTATTTTATCTATTCTATTTTTATTCGTCTTAGAAACCCAAGTGTTCTTAGATAGCTTATTGAAAAAAATACGTTAATTAAAAAAAAATTAACCAAATCTATCGAGTAGGGTGTCAAAATAAAGGAAGTTAAAAGGCGATTGCAAAAATATATAGAAGTTATATGTTTCTATTTAATTAGGAATAATCAATTGGTTTAAAGTTTTTGAAAAAATTGTAAAAATGTAAAATGGGCCATGTTTGTGTCGGACATCGTGCTATCATATGAAATTTAGTTCATAAGAGTGTGTCGGGACACTAAAATTGCAAATTATAAACCGAAAGAAAATTAATACTCATTAATTTTCTTTCGGTTTATAATTTGCAATTGGGTAACGCCTGCTATTAAGCTTAATTTGGGTATTTAACTTAGGCTTTCAGCTCATACTATAGTCTGTTAAACCGAAATAGAGTTTACATTGTTAATACTTTATTTCAATTTTGTATTCTATTCTCAATCTTGTTTCGGTCGTTTTAGTGCATTACTTTTAATTTTTTTTTGCAGTCCGGGTTTTGATTTTTTAATTATTTATTTTATATCCGAAAAACTTTTTTTTATTGAAAAATCGAAAAATTGATAATAACCAGGCGAAGCCGCGGCGGATCGCTAGTTATTATATGCAATAATAAATTACTATGAATAGTTTTTCGTCACAGGTGTACCGCAAAGATAACCTGAGCGTGTGGCAAGTAGACGGCCGGAAGCACAAGCAGTATTGCCAGCAGCTGTGCCTCCTTGCCAAGTTCTTCCTCGACCACAAAACACTCTACTACGATGTGGAACCCTTCCTCTTCTACGTAATGACCTGCGCCGACGACGAAGGTTGTCATATTGTTGGCTACTTCAGCAAGGTAAGTTATATTGGGTTATTTGGTTTTTAGATGGCGTCACACTGCAATAGCAGTTTAAAGCTGTTGAGCTGCTCTTATGGTGACTAAAACTATGGACTTCTTTTTCTGGTAACTAGGCATACCATATTAAACCTCATGTATCAATCTGCATTTTGGTTCTTAATCGTTGACAAATGTGTCTGATCCACAGCATTCACTTATAATCACGTGGACAGTGTGCGTGTGCTTCGTTCTCCCTCCCTTTATTTGTATGAAAAAAAAACAACTGATATTCTGTAAACTGTCTTTAATAGACTAACGATGAATACCTGTTTTTGGAAAGAAGATATATTTAGTGTAAAACAGGAGGTTATCTGTGTCGTCGTCTTGTGAGTAAAATATAAAAATATCAAATATATGCATTAACATTCTTTTTAACCCCCGAGCGAAACGGAGGGGTGTTATAAGTTTGTAGTGTGTATCTGTGATGTCTGTCTGTGGCAGCATAACTCTTGAAAGCGTAAATAACTTAGTCCAATGGATCAGTAAGCTTAAGTGGCAATGGGTCGGCCATATAGCTTGAAGGATCGACAACCGATGGGAAAATAAGGTTCTCGAGTAGCAACCTCGTACTGGTAAGCTCAGTATTGGGCGACTCCGCACTAGATGGAGTGACTTATTCACTTTATAATATGGCTTTATATTTCTTGACTTTCAAAAAATACTTTGTAAAGGCCAAGTATTGAATAAAGAAATATTGTAACTGACTTTGGCTTCACGTTAACGCCATTATTCTTGTACCAAAGGAAGAGTTAATTATCCAAACTTTTTAATTTAATTTGTTTATGATTAAAAAAATGTCATTTCCAGTAAGTAATACATGCTTACCACCGTGTATGTCGAGTACGCCGCTCTTCCAGAAAGAGTCGATGATGAAAAATATGAGATGTAAGAGAAAATATGATAAAATTTTCTCCAAATGTTAAACTTCATCTCGTCTTCTTCACATCCATATATCTGTGCATGCTCGTCGGTTAAATTATTATTATATTTATTTTAGTCTATTAATTTGACCTATGTTTAATATGTCGCCAATGTGGTTGATGGACTTGCCGACTTTGCCACTCTCTACTGCAGCATAAATTTGCTTTATCACTCTTCCCTCCTTCAGTGTTTCTACGTAACTAAACAATCCACATCATCTTGCAAACCACACTCTTCTCTTGTCACACAATTTCTATAAATAAGTTAGTGTTGTGTTATCTGTGGGAAAAATAAAACTAAATCAAATCAACACAATTAACATAAAAATAATTGTATTTTTTTGATCTACCTACATAAAAATAAAATTAAATTGCACTGTGCAACTATGTACTAAATTGAATCGAATATTGTGTAATTTCACATAATATTCTAACTCGGAGTAAGCTTTTTTCATGAAGGTCCTTAAGCTGTATCGGTTCGGAAAAATCATCGAAAAAAAAGTTTAAATAAATCGGTGCCTAAGGAACAACGAAAACGCTTGGAATATTTTAATAAAGACGTATACTATTCGTGTGAAGAAAGTTATATGCAAACAAAAGCGGATATAAAAGACTTATTAGATTCATTACATTCTACGGTTATACAATCAGCCTGCGTTGGTGAAAATAAGATATTGCAGCGTGAAGTTCCCCAAGTCAAGTTGCCCAGAATACAATTACCATCATTTTCTGGCAGTTTTTTTTATATGACAAGGGTGACAAACGAGCACACAGTCCACCTGATGGTAAGTGGTTGCTGAAGCCCATAGACATCTGCTTCTATCCTCGATTACGAATCAAAATGCAGATGCGTTGTCACCCGTGAGGACTAAGATGTAGTGTTGCCCAAATGCAAGAACAAGACGAGACTTAGCAAGTCTTGGTCTTGGTCTTGCGCCAATACACCTGGTCTTGGTCTTGGTCTTGGTATTGCGCTCCCAGTCTTGGTCTTGGTCTTGCAGCAAGAGTCTCGCAAGTCTCGCAATGACCTATTAGCCTATTACTATTTATTAAACGTTACTTTAGATATTAGAACAACTTAACAGAGTAGGTACATATTGAGCTTGAATTAACATAGCCATAGTAAAGACCAACCATATTAATAAATGTCTAAACATTTAATGAGAAATTCGAAAAATCAACTCACACCGGGTGGGGTTTGAACCCACGACCTAAGCGATCCGCATACGTGCCGATGCTCTAACTAACTGAGCTATGTACCGTGTCCCACGGCCACGGGCGCCAGTTTCTTAATAAACGTTTACATTTAATAAGCTTACATGTGCTAAAACATGGTTAAACATACATATAAAAACAAATTAATGGCAATAACTACACTGTATTTTAAATAACATTATCTCTCTAGAAAGAGATTGATGGACCCTCACCATATATGAAATGGAATAAAAGAGTTATACAATATACCATTTATTTAAATAAAAAGTAAAATACGATGCAAATTAAATTACTTCACAGTATGTACTCAACAGCTTTGACATTACATACATACATACATATAATCACGCCTCTTTCCCGTAGGGGTAGGCAGAGACCAGTTCTTTCCACTTGCTACGATCCTTACATACTTGTTTTGCTTCGTCCACTTTCATTATTCCTTTCATACATGCTCTACGGTTTAGGGTACTCTTGACCTGGCCTTTTTTCAAGACGTCCCTGATTTGGTCTAGAAATGTCCGCCTAGGTCTACCCCTTCCAACACTTTCATTCACACTCGCCTTATACACTTTTTGACATTACTGTTACTTTATATTTATTCTTTTGACAAAGCATTAATACAAAGTAACCATCTGGCTGACTCATCACTTAACCTATTTCTATGTTTTCTAATTACTAATGATGCTTTAGAAAATAATCTCTCAGCAAGTACTGAAGTTGCAGGTATTAAAAGAAAATCACGGGCCATCTTCGATAAAATCGGATATTTTGTCTCATGCGTCCTCCAACAGTCTAAAATGTCTTCCGAGATGACGGCTCTGGGTTTACCTAGGTACCCCTCCAACTCCTTAATAACTAAGCCTTGAAGACAAGATCCAGATCCATTTTTACACATTTCAAGTGTTTTAAAAGTGCTATGGTGTCAACCATATTTATCAAATGTGTGACGACATATTCGAGCACTTTGTGTATTAAAAACACACACTTGCAAAAGTCGAGATTTGCAGTGAACTTACTGAACATGTTTATCTTTTAGGTAATAATAATAACAATAATAGTAAGTAATTATTATAAATCCATATAGTTAATTCTATAATAATTACTTTTTTAAATAAAACTAATTTTACGGATTATACCCGACGTTTCGGGTGCTGGAAAGCACCCGAAACGTCGGGAATATATAAAAATAAGTTAATATACGCGATAAAATCCGTAAAATTAGTTTTATTTAAAAATGTGTAGTGTTCGCGTAAATATAAGAAATCATTAATAATTACTTACTAGAATAAATTATTATGATACCTACCTATTATCTAATTACAAGATTTCTTGCGAGATCAGGATAATGTATTCGTGTCCATTCTGAGCACCCGGAAACTTATTTTATTCTTTGAAACATGTACTCTGTGACGGCAATCAAACAGTGTCAAATGTAGTGCGTGCGGCGCGGCGGCGACGATTATGCGATATCAATAGTAGCCGCCGGCACGTGTATCTTGACCTTGTACTTTCGAATAGCTGCACAATTACTTTGACAGGTCAGTATCCGACCTTTGATGACGCCGGCACCAAGACGCCGCGCACCATCAAAGTGCCGATGGTCAAAACTAGGGATGCACTCTTTTTTCTTTTAATGGATATTTTCATTCGCTATGTATATTTATTGTATTGTTCGTAATGCGCATAAGTCCAATTTACCAATTTTTATTAAATTATATTTTTTGCGTCTCATAGAGTCCCTAAGCGTATACCCGAACTCCTGTACTCCCTAAAACGACACTTAGTCCTAACTGCAACATGCAAGAGTCTCGCAAGCTAAGTCTTGTTCTTGCGCAAATCTTGCACGGTCAGTCTTGGTCTTGGTCTTGCTAAAAAGAGGCGGTCTTGTTCTTGGTCTTGGTCTTGCAAAAATGCAAGAACAAGACCAAGACTGCAAGACCAAGACCGATTTTGGGCAACACTACTAAGATGGTAGGCCTATTTTCTAGTAAAAAGAGTCTCCGGTTCTCTACACTCACCATACGAAACACAGCAGCATTAAGCTGCTATTTTACGCTGGTATTCTGTGAGAGCGTGGTCCTTCCCCGGTCAAGCCGACCCATTCGTGCTACAACTATACTACTAATACAGCTGTAACATGGCTCTACCACGTACAAAAAAATCTACCAGTTACGAAGATTGGCCGACGTTTCAAGATTTATTTTTAATGCTTGTTGATAAAAATGAAACACTCAGTTGTGTTCAAAAACTACACTATTTAAAGTCTAGTGTTACGGGCGATGCCGAAAATGTATTGAAACATATTCAGGTAACCGAAAGTAATTATAACCAAGCGTGGGATATATTAAAGGGGCGTTATAGCAACAAACGACTCATAGTGACCTCTATTCTAAAACGAATGTTTAACCAAAAAAAAAATTGCAAAGTCAGTCCGCAAGTCAAATTAAATCTTTACTCGACACTACGACCGAATGTCTTAACAGCTTGAAAAATCTAGACGTTATTACTGAACATTGGGATCCATTGGTGATTTATCTGGTCGTAAATAAACTAGGTTTGGAACCCATAAGGAATGGGAAGAATTTGTAAGCAAAGAAACGGACGATAAGTTGCCCACCTTAATGGCATTAACAAAATTTAAGGAAATGAAGTTTAGTACACTTGAGTTGTTATCGCCAGGTTCAACAAGGGATAGAACTACAGTGCGCTCATATCATGTAACAACTACGGAGAAGGTTTGTCCATTGTGCAACGGGAATCATGCACTATGTCACTGTAAGAATTTTGGCAAAATGGAACCAACAATGAGAAGTGAATTAGTAA